AAAGTAAAATGAGCAGAAACAGGATACTGTACATAATAACAGCAATATTGTAATGATGATCAACTGTGAAAGACTCTCGATACAATGATCTGTGACAATTCCAAATGATTTATGATGAAAATGCTATCCACCTCCAGAGAGAGAACTGATGAATTGAGTGTGGATTGAAGCATATTTTTTTCACTTTATTTTTTTTTTTGCTTTTTTTTTTTGGCAACATGGCTAATATGGAAATGTTTTGCATGCCTTCACATGTATAATGGGTATCATATTATTTACCTTCCTGATGGGCAGAGAGAGAGAAAAGTAATTAGAATTCAAAATTTAAAAAAAAAAAGGAATGTTAAAAAATACATTAAAATACGTGGTCCAAGAGGGCATCCATAAAAACAACAGACTAATACAATTGATTTTTTGTTGTCGTGGGAAAAAAGTAATTGCCCTTATGAACATTATTAAGTTCCTCAGATCTGTCTGAGACTTATTTAATATGCCCCCAAATCCATTATTTCATTGTTTCAAATAATTCTTTGACCGGCTGAGATTGCAATCTCTCATGACTCAGCAGCTCTTCATGAGCTACTGTGGCCAAAATATGTTACGACATAGAGAACTAATGCTGTGATGGCGAGTCCCTCCAAATGGGGCCCTATCATAGTCTTTGTAGCTTTGTCCAACTTGTCATAGCATGGACTCATCTGACAGAGCTTTTGCAAAGATTGGGTTACCTCTGTGATAAGGTAAGGTACCAGAGGGAATCAGACATCAACAGAGAAATCATAGAATGTGTGATGTTATCTTTAAGAATGGACAACTGTAGACTGTTGGCCAGTACTACCCAAATCCACAACTACGAGAGATTGAGGGAAAAGTTGTTTAGCTTATTAAACCTTTCCATCATTCAGGAATCTCCAGGAGGTCTTCTGATAGGATGGGGTGAGGGAGAGGACATGACAGAATGATGATCTCAATCAGTCAGATTGAAAGGTCAAGAAATGGATGAAATATCAATGATAGCATTTAAATTGAGAACTCTGAAGGTTCGGCCTTTCTGGTAACTGTCAGTGGAAAGACTGAAGAAACAAAATGGTTTGAGCCACACACTGAAGAGAGAAACAACATTGGATAAAGCCGACCAGGCTGTTATGATTCATCTGAGGTGGCTGGGTGGAGGGCATCTAAAGGTCAGAATTATCCATGAGGTCTATTTTGCTTGGAATCCAGAAATGAAGCCAATTAAGGTAACAGGAAAATAGTAACAAATACTTCCGATGACTTGGAGGTCTAGATTTTGGGAATATTGCAAGTTGCCTGCATGCTTGAAGCATCAATCTGCATGCATAATTAAGTGCTTGAATGTATGCAATCAACAGTTTTGATGTGCAATATATTTTGGGTGAATCCATATTTACTTAAGGCAGATATATACAGAACAATTGGGAGTTCCAAATATACAAGGGCAGAAGAATGGGGAAAATATTTGTATGTAACAATAAAATTTTTTAGACCTGATTTCTAAATATAGAACAGCCAACTTGATGTGTTGGTGTCTTTATTTTCAATATAATCTTCATTCAAACCCTTCAAAAAACGCACAAGTACGTTTTGGAGGAAACAAGCATGGAAGAAGGATCAAATTCTATTTAGCTGCTCTCACTTCTGTCCCACTATGTGATTCTTTTTTTTTCCGTATTGAAGCATGAAAACCTGTCAAATTCATAACCTCACCACTCCAAAGATTATGTGTCTTCATGTTTGCCTACAGTCAAGGCTCAGATGCATGAGTATTTGAAGATAACTCCTTTTTAAAAAAAGAATCTATTTGAATAAAACAAATGACCAAGATATGTAATTTTTATTTCTTTCAATGTAAGTTCTCTCAGTTGACGAGGGAACTTGGAATTTCTTGGTATGTTCCTTCATTCCAATGTGTTTATTTTTTGACCTGCATATTTTGTTCACTGTAGTGTAATGCCATTTTAAAGACATCGTAATAGCTGACATTTAAATAGTGGGTTGAGATTTGCAAACGTTTTACATACATGATTTTCTTAGATCCCTCTGAGGCAAGCCCTACGGGTAATATTATATCCATTTCACTAATAAGGACACTGAAACATGTTGAGGTATGATGACAGTCCCATGATCCTGCAAGCAGTAAATAACAAGCAGGATTGGAATCCCGGTTTCTTTCAACTCTCACTCAAACACTATTGTCCTTTTATCATCAAAACTCCTACTCTTGACCAATATGGTGAATCTCATATTGAACCCATGTATTGATCCTTAAATATACCTTCGATCTCACTGGGATAAGCACTCCTGCCAAAGCTGCAAGTGGAAGCCCATCTCTACCTCCTCCTCTTGTACATCTCTTATCCAATCCTTTACAAGAACCTGGGGACCCGCTACATCCCTTGACACTGAATGGATACCAAAGGCCTACTTCCTTTTGTAGTCATACATCTTCTGATGACATCTTTTCTGCTGCTTCTCCTGCATAAAGTTTTGTTAATAGTATTTTTTAGACTACTCACACCCACCGTGGGCCTGTGTTCCCTTAACAAAGCCTTTATGAGGAAAATTGACACATGCATCGGGGACATCCTGGTTAAAGACTGGAGAAGGGAATTTTTCCAAATTTTCCAAAATTTCCAAGCTTTTCCAAATTATATTCTGTAGAGGTTCACTTCTTTATAGTCACATAATTGACTGAAAGATTCAGAGAATGCAAGATTCCACCAAGTTTATTGTTTGTTGACTACAAAAACAATTGATTCATTGGAGTAGAACAACACCCTAAAGAATATTCTCTAGTAAAGTGTCTCCCATGGATATGTCAAAATCAAATCTGATTTTTCAGAATATGTAACAACAGTAGTACCTTCATTTGAAGACAATTTTCTCACTTAGATTCCTAATTGAAAACAAAAACAACCCCCAAAATCGATGTTTTTTAGCAATTTTTTTAACAAAGATGTAACAGTTATGATGAAAACTGACTAATTTAGACCCTAAGATTTTCTATTTCACAGAGTTGTTTTTGGTTGAATTGTCCTAGAAAGAGCACTAGATTTGAAGGCAGACCTAGATTTAAATCTTGGCTTGGTCATTTACTAATTATGTGATCTTTCACAAAGAGATAATTTGTGTAATACCTACCTCCACAGGATTATATTATGATTTTCCAGAGGATGCTGAATGTGCAGTATGGAAATATGAGTTCAAGTCTTCCCCCATATGCTTTCTTGACCTTGGATAGGTTACTTAATGGGGATGAGTCCCAGTTTTATCATATAAAAATGGGAGCACACAAGCCTCATGTTATTGTGAGGATCAAATGTGAAATGATGGTAAAGCCTTTTATTGTTATTAAATTTGATTATATACATACTATCCCAAACAAATGTGAGCACTTATTATCAAGATACATAGAGGTTAAAAGAGATTCTATTCAAAGATATCAGGGCAATACAGTGAAAAATAACACTCTGAGGTTCTTAAACCTTTGGTCTGTGAACATTTTAAAAAATATATAACTGTTTCACTGTATTTGGTTTCCTTTGCAATCCTATGTATTTTATGCATTTTAAAAATTGCAACAATGCATTTACTTATTGGACAATTGCCAGATATTACATTACATTTTTATATGAGTATATATTTTATGCATTTTAAAACATTTTTCTGAAGAGTCCATAGGTTTCACAGATGGAGTCTCTGACACAAAAAGGTTAAAAAGCCCTACTTAACTTCAGAATTAGAGGACCTGGGTTTGTTTCCTGCCTCCACAGCTCGCTACTTGTGTGACCCTTGGGCAAATGATTAAACTTTCTTGGACCTCAGTTTACTTTCCTGTAAAATGAGCGGAGGACGAGATAGCTTTTGAGGCCCTTTAGAGCTCTAGCTCTTTAATCCATAGGAGATAGTGACATAGCACACGACTATTTTGCTTGTTTAAGGGGGAAATGTGTAACTGCTGCCTTAAAGTTAAATTGAGGATAATGTGATGTGTAAAGGAAGGATAAGATAAGATTTCTCAGTTTCTTCTGGTTAGCCTTCATATATTCATCACACCTGAGCAATGAAAATTTCTGGGAAATAAAATTAATAGTTCATTTATCTAATCTATTGGGGGGTATTATGGAACCCCAAGCAAAGTAGCAAAGGGCATCATTTACCATTGACCTGCATGTTAATAACCAGATATTTCATTATCAGGAGAGCTATTACTGAGACAAGTCTCAGGGCCACTCTCGCAAGCCCCTCCCCTCGATGTTTCCATGAAGTTGCCAGGCAGTTCCCCAGGACAATGTGATGTTATATTTAGAAGTGTAACCTGATCACCTGACGGTGAGCCCTGATTTAAGAATTATCAAGTCTAACCTTGCCATTCATTTTTAAAATATATACACATAAAGAGAATAGCCGCTGTGTGACCACTGGGATCCTAACCAAAGGCGAGACTTGCCCTTCTGAGAGGATGTTCTTGTAAAAGGCACAACTTCCAATCTGAAAAAGGCAGCCAACATTTGGAAGGAAAAAAAAAAATCCAAGGCACATTGCAGTAAATGCCTGCCCCTAGCTTCTCTCCTCTCCCTTCTCCTCCCCCATCTAGCTTGGGCTCCCGACATTTATTCCACACTAAAAGGAGACGGACGCTATTTTCTTCCCCCTGGTCAGGTTCAAACCCGAGAGCAGGCTGCCGGGAGGGATGTCGATTTCCTGCCCGAAATTGTCTCTTGTTTTTCCTCTTTACTCCAGTCGTCCTTGTGCAATGCTGCGTGCCACGCCGCTGGCAGAGCAGACAGAGGGAGAAGGAGAGAGGGAGCTCCAGTCACACACACCAAACACACACTCACACTCAGACACACGCGCGCGCACACACTCACCCCAGCCTGCCAGGCGACTGCCATCCAGGAGATCGCAGTCACCAGTGGAAAGGGGGGGGAGGTGGAAGTGGGGGGGTCGGGCGTGGGTAAGGGGGGGGCTACGCCAGCCACAATCGTGCCCATGCTCGGCTCTCATCCTCGCCACCACCACCTTGCACAGGTCGGGAAATCGCTTGTTTTCCTTTGCTTTTGGGTAACACAGGCTCTGGCCGGGGGAAGGGGAGGGGAGGAGGGAAGCCTAGCTGGGTGAGCACTGGGGGCTGGGGGTGGGGTCGGCGTGGGGGTGGGGTGGACATTGAACTTTTCCTTGGCGTGACCAGCATATTGGCAGTTTCCCCGGGCTAATCCCGGCGATCTGTGGTTTGTTCTTCCAGTTAACTTTGTTCCAAAGGCTCCCGGGGAGGGGGCTTGGGGGAACGGGAAAAGCAGAAGGGAGCCAGAGAGGGGGAGAGGGGAAAAAAAACAAAGGTCTGTATTTGGGACCTAGATAAGGAGAGAAAGTAAATAACCACGGCGCCCGGCAGGAGCTCAGTGGGTCTGGGCGGCCAGGCGTCAGCTGCTTGGTTCTCGTTGGCTGTTTCGGGGAGCTTGAAGGCCACCGCACCAAGGACACACACAACACACAACACACACACACACACACACACACACACACACACACACAGCCCCACAGGCACAGGCGCGCTCTCAATGGATACAAAAGTCTGGACGTTCTAGGGGCGAGGAGGGAGGGAGTGAGGGAGGGAGGAAGGGAGGAAAGGAGGAAGAGAGGGAAGGAGGAAGGGGGGCGGGCGGCGGAGAGCCCGGGGCGGGGGAGAGCCGGAGCCGGAGCCCGAGCCGGAGCCCGAGCCCGAGCCCGAGCCGGAGCCGGAGCTGGATCCAGAGCGACTGCGCCCGTGCCGGCTCCCCTAGCCATGCGTGCCGCGGGCCCGTGAAGGGAGCCGCTGTGCGCCGCTGGCTGCCAAGTCCTTGCCCCGCTTTTGTCTCGCCCTACAGTGAATCGGAAGATGGAGATGGATGTTAAGGGAGTTTCTCAGTGCCCGGAGCCCATCCCCCACTCTCAGGGGGCTGGCGGAGGCTGTCAGCAGCCACCACCGCCACCGCCGCCGCCGCCGCCGCCGCCGCAGGATGAGCAGCCTGGGGAAAGTGCGGCCGCCGGGGACAGCCACCCAGAGAAGAGACCAAACAGTGAGAAAGAAGACAAAAAGGTAGGTCTGCCGGCCGCCCCCTCCCCAGCATCTCCGCGCTGAGCCGGGAGCCCTCGGATCGCCTCCACCCCCTGCCCTGGCTGGAGAGCCCCGGCCAGAGGGTGGGGTCTGCGGGCGGAGGGGCGGGGGCCTGGGACAGAGCAAAGAAGGGCTGCCCGCCGGCCGGCCGGCCTGTCCGTCTGCCTGTCCAGCTGTTTGTCTGTCTGTCTTCATGTTGTCTGTCGGTTTGTCGCGGGGCGGGGGTGGGGATGGGGAGTGACTTTAGGAAGTGGAGGCAGCGCCGGCATGGAGGAGCCTGTCCTGGATTGCAGGGTGGATGGAGCTGTCTGGGTGTGCAAAGACGAGCCTGGCTGCTGCTAGCTCTCCCATGCCCAGGGATGAGGGGGTGGGGGTGAGGGTGAGGCGGGGATGGCAGGGGGCGGGCAGACAGACCTCTGCTTGCCTTCCCAAATTCAAGGGAGGAGGCTGTGCAGGCTCCTTCGTCCAGAGCCACGAGTTCTGAAGTGGCTCTGGGTCAGCCTTGGGGGTCGGGGGCAGGGAGCCGGAGTAGAGAAGCCCCACTGCAGACAGATGTCCAGCAGCGGGGAGCAAAGTTGCTCTCATTTGCAGAATTGAACCTTGCTGATGCAGCAGGGAGCCCTGTGGCCTCACCTGTCACCTCTCCCCCCCCCCCCCCAAGAGCATCCCCTCAAATCTGGCTCAGCCCTGCTGTGTCATTGCAGACCAAGGGACAGCTCCTTCTTACTGTAGGGAGGGACAGACAACCTTTTAGGTAATGGAGTTCAAGGAAAGATGGTTCCGATTTCATTCTGTCCCTGCCACCCCTCTTAAATAAATCACAAAGAGGAGGAAATGGAATTTTTAAAATTGCCATTATAACACCGTCAGCCCAGTGTACTAATCAGAAAGTGAAGCTGTCTCTGGGCATTTTCTGCATCTTCATATATTTTTGGTGAAACTGAAGGCTAAGTGTTCCGTGGAACATGGTTGAGGAACACCTTCATTGATGATACTAAACTTGAGGAAATTGAATGGGAATTCCCCCCCCCCCCCCCCCCAAAAGTTATGATTTGTGTTTGGAAGCTGTAGCACTGTGCTCAGGCCATTGACTACATCTCTCTTAGTCTGATCAATGTAAGTGGGATTGGAAAGATGTGGATGGTAGGATGAGTTCCACTGTCTTAAGAGACAACACTCTCTCAGGAAGGCTGGAAACCTTTGAGTTAGAGAGTGGTCTGGTTTCTGGGAATGCTTATAATCTGAAGGTGGATTGAATAGATACTTAAACTATGTCTGGATCACACTGAGTATGCTCTAGCCACACTGAATTTAGAGTTGGGTTCACTTGACAAGTCTTAGGGGAAAAAAAATGTGTGTCTTCCCCGAAATCACCAGTGGTCAGAATGTGTGCTGCATGCAGGAAGCAAGATGAGCATCAGGGCTGTGTGTCAATCCAGGGGGAAAATCAGCGATGTGGTTATCATGTGAAAAGCAACTCACTAAAGCATTGGGTTTGGAAGACATTTAGACCGGGTTTGTGTTGCTCTGCAGATACAGAAAAAAAGCCCATAAGAAAGAAGAGGGGAAAAGGCAATGGATTTTAATATTCTAATATACTCAGCTTTTCAGTAACTCTTGATTTCATGAATATTTAATTGTCATGACTGCATATTTACGACTTCAGATGACTCTCTGGGTCCGATTTTATGAAACAACCCTCTCAGAGTATAGTTTTATCTAGCTGAACTTTAAATCGATGCTTTAAAATATCTTTGGGAAATAATTGCAGTCTACAGCCAGTCTTAACCATCTCTACATTGTGGGTTCTCTTGGTGCCTTGAGCAGAGAAAATTCCTGCCATCAGCAGAAATCTGTGCTTACTAGTTACTCTTGGATGCACCATGCAGACTGTCTAATGTTTTTTACCCACGGTGGGTATCAGGGAAGCAAATCCAGTCCCTATATTACTTGCAGGTGAAAAGAGGCCTGAAAGGGGGCTGATTACATTTAGTTAATTAGCATGTACAGATAATTGAGTATTCCACTGATGTGATTTGCTTTATGTTTGTCGGCAATTTCTTGAGGTAGAAACAAAATACTACTTTTTTCCCCTCCAGGTGTTTGCCTTAAAAAAAAAAAATCAGACTCCATCCTCATCTTATCCCAGAAATCAGCTGGGTTAACTCTTTAGTGGCCACTCCATTCCTCCAAGAGACTATCTGTCCTGTCTTTTGGAAGAGTTGGAGAAATGGGGCCTGGGCCAATGGTACTTTCACAGCTGTTTTTGTCTTGTGACTACCAAGGCAAGTTATGCATTTGATTTTTTTTAAGTGAATTCTGGTTTCATTAGTGATCAGGACTTTAGGGGGTTGAATCAGATTATCCCACTGTGATGAAAACCAAATCTGAACTGTAATAGACTTGTGTGTCTTGGCCAAATTGTGAAGAAACACACATACACACACACAATGGGGAGGGTTTTTTTAAAATATGAAAATGGGAAAATATATTCTTGGTTGAATCTTTGTGTTTTTTAAATAATTACAGAAATTCAGATTGGAAATATGAGCATCTACACCTCTGAAGCACAAGCCCTCTGAAAAGGTTCTTTATTTTGTAGCTGCCTTTGATCCTAACACAGCTCCTTGGGGGCAAAAAGGCATTAAGACAGCAATAATGTTTTCTCAGGATAAGTTTTGAGGCCACTGCTCTTATTCTCTTTCATGGATTTCCCCAGTAGTCCGGTCAGAATAAGAAGAGTTGACTTAGTCATGCGCTTGTCTAGTGACAAGAAATAGCCAGGAAGTTGTCCCAAGTTCTCAGCAAGTCTTTGGTAACCACAGCAGCAGCATCTATGCTGGCAGAGATAAACCAAACTCCAAACTTTCGGGGTCTCTTGCAGTTCCTCATAGAATCATAGATTTAGAGCTACAAGGAACCCTTGACATCGTCTAGTTCAACCTCCTCATCTTACAGATGATGAAACGGAGTCTTTGAGAAGCTAAGTGACTTTCTCAGGGCCTCACAGGTTCTACGTCATCTGGTGACTCCAAATCCAGCATTCTTTCCACTGTCTTATGCTGCTTCAGTGTTATTGGGGATTGAGAGGGAGTAGAAAAATAAATGATAGAAGTGGGATATTTTCAAAACTTTTCAAAACCAGCTTATGCCCTACCAGGACAATAGCCACACTGGGACAGTTGAGGCAATACCTCCTTTGGGGATGTCTGGGCCTAGACCAATTTACATAGTAGCAATCCTACTGTCACTTGCTTCCTCCTAAGGTCTCAAGTATCTGTGTCCCACTAAGGAAAGGGCTGTTAAGTACAATATCAAAGCACCCACAATTTATAGATTCATTGGATCAAGAACTAAAAGGAACTTTGGAAGGTCATCTGGTTGACCTCTGTGATTTAAAGCAGCACTATCTTTAATCCCAGACCCCTTGGGAAGAATAGGCAAGATTCCTTCTTTGGCATAAACTGTTGCCATCCTCTCCCCACCCTGCACATGTCACCAGTTAAGTCCCCTTTTCTTTTGAGGAGGCAGCAGAATATTGCAGCACATCTAGACTTGGAGTCATGCTTCCTTGTGGTCAAATGCTGCCTCTGACATTTACTGGTGCAGTGTCCATGGACAGGTCAGATGACCTCTCTTAACCTCAATGTCTTCATCTGTTCAATGGGGATATTGAGACCTGAAGTGATTACCTCGAGGCCACTCTTGATGCTCAGCTGAGATCATCCATGTGAAACCCTTTGCAAACTTCAGAGTACTATTGTTTTCCCTTAGTTCTTTCTATACTCTGGATAAAGAATAATAACTGGTCATCATCATTCAGGTTAGAGGCCCCAGGTATCCGAAGAAAATTACAGAACTACCCTTCCGCATTCTTTTGTCTAGGTTTAATAATCTAAGATGTTTTAAATGTCTTCCCCCCACCCCTTTCATTAACCCATTGATTTTCTTCTACCATTCAGTTATGCTCAGGAAGTATTTCTGAACCCTATACCACCCAAATTTTTAATTAAAAAGGTTTTACAACTCATTTTTAATGATAATCATGGAGAATCACAAAAAAGCAGACTAGAAATAGAACTAGCCTTGGAATCAGGAAGACAGGTTCTCTGACTCTTCTTGGATATGTAGTTCTGCTCAAGCTAGTTAACTTCTTACTCCTGACAACACTCTAAAGTTTGAAGTTGCAGATTTGGATTGGTGGAGGGAATTTCCACACTGGGAGTTCCCCAACCCAATGAAATCATAAAATAAAACTTAAAAAATGTGAGCCATCACCTATTTTGTACTTTAAGGTTTGCAATGCACATTTTATATACACTGAAGCCTCACAATAGACATATAGATACCAGTTAGGGGGTACAGTGGACAGAGCATTGGACCTAGAGTTAGGAAGACCCTAGCCTCAGATACTTACTAGCTCATTTAACCTCTGTCTGCCTTAATTTCCTCATCTGCAAAATGGGGATAATGATAGCACCTAACTTCTAGGGTTGTTGTGGGGATACAATGAGATAATGTTTGTAAAGTAATTTAAGGCAATACATAAATGTCAGCTCTTATTATACTTGCTGATGTTACCAAGTTCCTTGTTTGTATTTGAATCCAGCCAGATCCCTTGATGCTTGAAAAAAGGGTTAAAACAGCTTTCTCTTCTCCTGTCCAGCCCATTAATTTGATTTTCTGTTACTATGATTCTTGGTTAACAGGTTGCTTCATGGCCTACAAGTGGTATAGCATGATTTAATTTAACAGACCTAAATGCTGGGAATACACAGACAAAACAAAATAGGCCCTACTCTGAAGGCACTCACAGTCTCCTGGGAGAGGGTTTACATTAATAGAGGGGCTAACTACATATACATATAGAAGTAAATACAAAGTGTATGCCAACTCATTCCAAGACATAGAAAGTGTTCAGAACCAGAGGGTCAAGAAAGGGTTCATGTGAACCATATGTTTTTGGAAGATAGGGATTTTAA